TTTTTAAAGATGGGGTTTCACCATATTGGTCAGGCTGGTCTCGAACTTCTGACCTCAGGTGATCCACCCACCTCAGCCTCCCAAAGTGCTGGGATTACAGGCGTGAGCCACCACGCCCGGCCACTAATCAAATCCTAAAAGGCTGAGCACAAATTATACCTATGTTAAAATCTCATTAGATGCGCAGTCACAAAGGAATGATGAAAGTCCATGAATAAATTCGAGTAAGAGAACCAGCCACATGCCAACAATTTAAGCAAAGCTCTAAAATTATTCCAACTCAGATGAAAATCAAGACCCCCATCTCTACAAATAAAAATAAGCTGGGTGTGGTGCTGCACATCTGTAGTCCCAGCTACCCACCTAGGAAGCTGAGGTGGGAGGATCACTTGAGCCCAGGAGATTGAGGCTCCAATGACTGTCACTGTATTCCAGCCTGGGCAACAGAACAAGACCCCGTCTCTCAAAAAAAAAAACAAAAAAAAAACCCATATTTAAAAAAAAAAAAAAAAAAAAAAAAAAAAATCAACTTTGATTCATTACGCTGTTTGAATCCAGATTAGTTATCTACTACTTATCCTACACAGAGTTTTTCAAATACTAAGCAGATAGCCAGGAAACAGGGTAAAGAAGCAACTAGAGAGACTGCTTGAGACAGGTTTTGAATTTAAAAGGTCACTCCAATTGGGAACCTACGTGTAGAAGCTGCTTCCAGACCTCGAACCCACGATAGACATTTCCTGCACCATTTCTAAATATGTCTGGCACCCTCTTTCCCTGCCTTCCTGCCTCTAGATTCTCTTAATCTCTGTGGCATTCTATTAACAGGAAAGTAGAAAGCAAGTATTCCTTCCCCTGCCTTAGCCACTCTTCTGGTGGGAGGATGTGCTCCTGGAATCCAGAATTGTAACATGAAATGAGTTTTCACACAGATACAATGATGAAAGATGGCTAGTTTACAGAGCTAGAGGAGCAATATGGATTATAAGAATTAGTTTCCTAGAATATTTGACCTGTAATTTGTAACACTGTTTCTACAGAAAAATTTGTCTTAAATTCTAAACAACTGCCTCATAAACTTTTAGTGTATCAGCTATGTTATACCTACACATGTTAAAAAGATAACAATATAAGGTCATACTGATAGTAAATACTACAGAGACACTAAAAATGAACCTTCATTGTAAGCTTCAGCGATCACCTGAGTAGAAGGAATGCCATTCATTCAGCCAAATGACTCACTGAAGGCCCACTAAGTTAGTGGTAGAGGCAATGAGGATTTAGAACTATTTAAAATCTTGCTGAAAATGCTGTCACAATACATGCTTCAATTTACTGAGAACAAGGTATTTTAAAAGGATAAAACATCAACACTCTCTGAGAGGTCCAGGAAACTTTGACCAAAGAAGTGACATTTGAGTTCAGCTTTGAAGGATAAGGATTCTGGCAAGCAGAAAGGTAAAAAACAATGTCTCAAACCAGGCACGAAACCAGGCACGAAACCAGGCACAGTGGCTCACGACTGTAATCCTAGCACTTTGGAAAGGCAGGTGGATCACCTGAGGTTGGGAGTTTGAGGTCAGCCTGACCAACATGGAGAAACCCCATCTCTAGTAAAAATACAAAATTAGCCAGGCATAGTGGCGCATGCCTGTAATCCCAGCTACTCAGGAGGCTGAGGCAGGAGAATCACTTTAACCTGGGAGGCGGAGGTTGCAGTGAGCCGAGATCACACTATTGTACTCCAGCCTGGGCAACATGAGTGAAACTCCATCTCAAAAAAAAAAAAAAAGAGCATCTTAGATAAAAGTAGCATCAAGGAATCCTGCAAATGCCAATGGTAAATAGGCTGGAAATTGGTAGGGAGTGGTAGGACATCATATTAAAAAACTAAGTTTAAGTCAAACTGAAACAACGCAAATTAATCTGGAATAGGACATTCCAGACGTAAGTGTAAGATAACTGGCAAACAAAATTTGACTCTTATAAGAGCAACTATTGCAGTACAGTTTCATATTTAATCAAATGACACAGAGATGACAGCACCTGTCTGTGGTCCTAGCTACTCAAGAAGCTGAGGCAGGAGGACAGTTTGAGCCTAGGACTTTGAGATTATAGTAAATTATGATTGTACCATTGTACTCCAGCCTGGGTGACAGGCCTGGGCAACAGAGCAAGATCCTATCTTTAAAAACTAAAAAATTTAAAAATATACAGAAAATGCATCAATAATATAACTTTTATAACTTTAAGATATATTTGGTCTGAATTGGCACAAATCTTTAAACGGGGCCATTTTAATGTAGAGTATGACACAGTATGAAAATACTCCTAAAGTTAGCTACCTTTCCGATGTGATTCCATCACATTCTATATCCTTCCATTTCATAGCAGGCATAAAAGATATTGACTATCTGTGTCTTCCCCACTGAACTGTAAACTCTGAGAACAAAGATGTCTTTCTTTACCAGGCTATCTTGTGTATCATGCTATCTCATATAAGCTTGCTCATAGTAGAAACTCAATATGTATTTGTTGAAGTGAATGTATTTGTGAAATGATAGCTGGCATACATGTATACACGTGGCAGCTCTAACAAGAGGGAAAGGGTTAGGACACATAGCCTCTATCTTACAACGTGGATAAAAACCTCAAAAATGCTAGCTCACTCTTCTGCACTATTGGTAGGAATATAAACTGATACAACTATTTGGTGAGCAATGGTAGTATCTACTAAGACTTTGAATGCACATACTCTTTGATCCTGCCTACCTAGGAACTTATCCTACAAAGATACTTGTACCTGTAGAATGATGTTCACTTAGCATTGTTTGAAATAACAAGAGATTTGGCCTAAAGGGCCATAATAGAGCATTGGAGTTCAATATATTCTAGTACAAGGGTACAAAAAAATGTTATGCAGCTGTTTAAATACATGAGAAAACTGTATATAACTATAAGGGAAAGTATCCAAGATATTATAATATTAAGTTAAAAAAAAAAAAATGATTGATAATAAATTGGTTTGGACAGTGATCTGATTGAAAAAGATAAATCAATTAGAAATTGAAAAAAAAGGCCAGGCACTGTGGCTCACACCTGTACTCCCAGTACTTTGGGAGGCTGAGATGGGCAGATCACGAGATCAAGAGATCAAGACCATACAGGCCAACATGGTGAAGCCCTGTCTCTACTAAAAATACAAAATTTGGCTAAGCATGGTGGCACACGCCTGTAGTCCCAGCTACTTGGGAGGCTGAGGCAGAAGAATAGCTTGAACTGCGGAGGCGGAGGTTGTAGTAAGCCAAAATCGTGACACTGCACTCCAGCCTGGCGATAGAGCAAGACTTCGTCTTAATTAAAACACACACACACACACACACACACACACACACACACACACACACAAACAGGCCAGGCGCAATGGCTCACGGCTATATTCCTACCTAGCACGGCTATAATCCTACCTAGTACTTTGGGAGGCCAAGGTGAAAAGATTGCTTGAGTCTAAGAGTTTGAGACCAGGCTAGGCAACATAGCAAGACCCAATCTCTACAAAAAATAAAAAATTAGCCAAGTAGTGGTGCATGACTGTAGTCCCAGCTACTCAAGAGGCTGAGATGGGAGGATCAACTGAGTCCAAGAGGTTGAGGCTGCAGTCAGCCGTGATCATGCCACTGCACTCCAGCCTGGGTGACAGAGCAAGACTGTCTCAAAATAGTAACAAAAAATCAAATCATAAAGCTTATCATATACATATATACTTAAACATTCATGGAACATTTCTAGAATACAAAAGAAATGGTTAAGAGAAGTAACTTTGGAAGAGTCAGACAGAAATGTGGGGAGTAGTAGCTTTTGTGTTTTAATCTTACACTGTCTTGTGTATTGATTGTTTTTTAAAATCATGAACTTTTTAAAATTACTTTTTAAATTAGAAAACAAAAAATAATTAACAGAAAATATGCTGGCCTTAATAATATAATCTTGAGACTTTTCTTTTTAGTAAGTTATGTGCTTTTTTTTTTTTTTTTTT